GAGGTTTGGGCGCTTCTGGGCTTTGTTTCCTCCCTTGGATGGGCCTTGGCTCTGTTGACCTTGGTGGGATGGCTTCTGGCCGCCCTTACCACGCCTCTTTTGGCGTTTTGGGTGCTGATTAGTGCTATAATGTGCTTCAGGCACAACAGTAGCCCCAGTAGGTCGAGCTTGATGATTCTTCATCAACAGCTGGTTCTGCTTTTCAACAAGAAGTAAAACAGAGATCAAATCTGAGAACTTAGTGAACTTCTGAGCTCTATATTGTTGCTGCAGGATAATATTAGAAGCAGAGAAGGTCGAGTAGGTCTTCTCCAGGAGATCCTCTTCAGTCAAAGTTTCATTGCAAAACTTGAGAAGTGATCGGATTCGACAAACTTCAGAATTATATTCATTCACAGACTTAAAGTCTTGGAAGCGTAAGTGCTGCCAGTCGTGTCTTGCTTCAGGCAAGAATATGTCCTTTTGGTGATCGAAACGATCAGCCAAAGCGACCCATAATGCACGTGGATCCTCCTCAGCAAGGTACTCAGTTTGTAGAGCGTCATGGATATGTCTTCGGATGAAGATCATAGCAGTGGCTTTTTCAGCCTCGCCAACAGGTTTATCTGTTGCTTCTTCAATAGCAGGACGCAAGTTCTTTGCAGTGAGGTGGAGCTTCACATCTTGAACCCACTTGAGGTAGTTCCTTCCAGAAACCTCCAAAGCGGTGAAGTCGAGTTTGTTCAAATTCGACATGTTCCTATCACAAAATAGATGGACAAGATGTGGTTAGTGTAATGGAGAAAAAATCAATCCATTCACATAGGAGTAGAACATACAGGTTCTAATAGACATGTATTGGTTTAATTTTGCATGAAAAACTTCGGGTTTTCATGGGTGATATGTTTAAAGTGAAAACTTCGGGTTTTCAAACAAGGCATGTTGTATAAGAAAACTTCGGGTTTCAAAGTAATTATGAACTTCAGGTTCATATATTCCTGCAGGCAAACACAAATATAATATGCAAACAAATATATGCAAAGAATATATGCAGAAATATTGTATAATGATAAGTGAATTAATTTATTTTTTGGTCTTCGGGGCCAAATTAAAGTGTGGGTGAAAAATATAAAAACCCATATTATTAAAAAAAATTAAATAATAAAATCTCGGGACCTAAAAATATAGGCCAAGAACCCTCGGGTGGGATTACAGGCCCACGGGGTGAGAAGAGGGGAATGGGCTGCTGTGTGCAGCCCTAAATTTTTATTTTTATTTATTTATTTTTTTTTTCGCTCCAGGCGAGCCCAGAAATTTTTTTTTTTTTTTTTTAATTAGATGCATATATAATTCAATGAATCACATATTTACTTTGATGCATATGCAAATAATAGTTTCAATGCATGTACATATGTAAGATTCAATTCATAGCAAATATCAAATTCACATAATTGTAGCAATTTTGATGATGAAGCATACACAATTTATGTAGAATCTAAAATACGTTAAACGTAAAGTTGGGTCATGCATCATGGTGAATGTTCATGCTATTAGGGCTTGCAAAATATCTAGTTAAAAGCCGTTGTTTGGAAAGAACCTGATTGCGTGATGATATGGATGAACTGGTTTGATGCAGAAAAAATTTCCAACGTCAGATTCCTAAGCGCAGCGGTAGGAGCGTGCTGATAACGTGTTGTGGTCTATTTTATCTGACAAAGGGACTAGGGCTGGCGGCAGAGAGAGAGAGGAGAGAGATGTGTGTTTGTAGAATTGTAGGGGAATGTGTGTGTTGTTATCCCTCCTACATTGTGCCTTTATTTATAGTAGTAAAGGGAGAGAAGATATTCCTTCTTCTCCAAGTAATACAAGTTGTAATAGGAAAGGATAACTAGAATCAAATCTTATCTAGGATTTACACAATCATACTTAAACTAGGAATGTTTACAACATTTACCTGTTATTTAAGCTCCAATTTTAATGATTTTTTTATAACTACACTCCTCGACCCTATAAGAATGCAATGAATAAATTTGATCTTCAATTTAAAATATTTACATTAGTGGATACCACAAAATCTTATTTTATACTTAATGGAAGTATAACATTAACTCTTAAGTGTTTATTAAATCTACCGTTTTGACGCGATACACATTTTACGAAACTTTTTTCAATGATCAAACTGTCAAATTTGTTTGTACATACTCCAATATCACATACATAAAAAATCACAAAAAACAAACATTCAGAGAATATGTAACAAAACAAAAGTTTTCGATGGTTATAAACGAAAATTCACAATTTAACAGTTATTTTAGCTCTGATTTTGATGATTTTTTACAGTTACACTCCTCGACCCTATAAGAATGCATTGAACGAATTCGATCTTCAATTTAAAATATTTACACTAGTGGATACCACAAAATCTTATTTTATACTTGATGGGAAAGTATAACATTAACTCAAAGTGTTGGTTTAATCTACTGTTTTGATGCGATACGCATTCTACGAATTTTTTTTCAACAAGCCAACCATCAAACTTGTTTGTACACACTCCAAGATCGCATACGTAAAACATCGCAAAAAACAAACATTCAAAAATTAGGTAACAGAACAAAAGTTTTCGATGGTTATAAGCGAAAAATCACAATTTAACGGTTATTTTAACTTCGATTTTGATGACTTTACTCCAAAATCAAATGCATGTGGGTTATAATAATTCCTTAAGTATCTGATCATTTTCGTTGGTCTTTATTTGTTTCCTAAGAAAATTTATTATTTTAATAAAAGTTTAAATGGAGAGATTTGAAGTTCACTGAAATGTTGTATTGGTCACATGATGATCAAGGAATCCATCACAAATGGTGAATAAATAAATGTGCTTTTAATGTTTTGATAGCAATCTTTAATATTAAATTCAAAGATTGGATGATTTTATGAAATTCGACATGTCATTGGAGAGATTTTAAAATAATAAAATTTTCATTTTTGTCGGTTATAACCGCCACCATTAACTTAAAAACCGCTAGAATCTGTCAAAAATATTTAAAAAAAGGTTTCAAAAATCCTGTCGGTTTTTTTTTATCCGCCAGTAAATATCCGACAGGAATATATAACCGACAATATTTTTTTAATATCCGCCAATAATTAAATGATTTGTCAGATATAATTTATCCGACATGATTTTTTAATATCCGCCACCATCATCCGCCACCTAAAGCTAATATTGTAGTAGTGTCTACATAGTTCTCCAGAACCAGACACGGCTGAACAGGCCGACACATTTCAAGACACGGAAGGGACACCTGAACAAGTGCCCGAGACCCAATCGACTCGTCAGTCCCTCAGGTTTCAAGGTAAAAAGGTATCAAAGAAAAAAGGTAGTTCTTCCAAAAATGACTACACTAAATATACGGAAAAGGCTAGAGATAAGGAAAAAACTGTTACAATGGGAGCACTAATAACAGCTACTGAGGCCCGTGATGCGGCGGCTGAGAGACAAGGAGATGTACCCCAGACTTTTTTTTCAGTTTCAAAATTCAGATCTTGAGTTGTTTCTTTGGTTTACAGATTCAAATTATGGGTTTGCCCATTATAGTTCGATAGGTATTTGAAAATTGACAACCACCGTTACCGATTCATAGTGTGAGAGAGGAGAGCTGCAAATTTTGAGGAGAAGAGAGTAGGGCTTTTACAATGCTTCTGGCTTCATCGAGAATATGAAAGGGTGAAGAACAACAAGTGGAGAGAAATATAATTTTAAATTACTATTTTCTTAAGTTATATTGACAGTGGGACTCAAGGAGCACTAATAGCAGCTACTGATGCATGTGATGCAGCGGCTGAGAGACAAAGAGATGTACCCCAGACTTTTTTTTCAGTTTCAAAATTCAGATCTTGGGTTGTTTCTTTGGTTTACAGATTCAAATTCTGGGTTTGCCCAGTATAGTTCGATGGGTATTTGAAAATTGACAACCACGGTTACCGATTCATAATGTGAGAGAGGAGAGCTGAACATTTTGAGGAGAAGAGAGTAGGGCTTTTACAATGCTTCTGGCTTCATCGGGAATATGAAAGGGTGAAGAACAACAAGTGAAGAGAAATATAATTTTAAATTACTATTTTCTCAAGTTATATTGACAATAGGACTCAAGGAGCACTAACAATTACAGTCAAATACACGTGTTGGGCAAGTCCGGCTGGACTCCCTTTTGGTGCGAGTCCCGCCAGCATTTGGGGTGAGTCCCGCTAGTATTCTCCTTGATTTAAGTCTACGAACTTCAATTTCACAAACGTAAGTAATAAGGTATAAGTATAAGTTACGTTAATTAATATTTAGGTAATAATTCAATCATCAATAATCACATAATATAGTTTATAAAATATTATTTAAATTAATAGTTTCTCTAACAATATGGTACCTTAACACAAGGTGAATGTTCTTCGTGAAGAAAACCTCACAATAAGACCGAAGCTTCCTAAATGGTTCTTCTTCCCAACTTTGCAGTACTAAAATTTAGCACCTCAGTTTTACTATATCTCCAAAAATTGTTTACCAACAACAACAACAACAAAAAAGTTTTTTTTCCATTAAGTGAGGTTGGTTGTATGAATCCTAGAACATCATTCCGTTCGGTTGAATATTTGTAACCAAAATAATTGATTTTTAAAATTGCCCAAATCGTTCAAATTTGGTAATTTAGTATGCTTTTATGTGCAGTTCTGGTTTGGTTCTTATTTGAAACGAATTGAATCGAATTAAATATTCATCGAGCCTTTATGCGCATTTCTAGTTTAGTCCATTATTCTAACATATGCAATATTTATAATTGTTCACCACTTCAAATGCATCAATGTTTACAGAAATCACACAAGCACTATTTCCCAAACACGAAAACCGAAAATGTAGCGAATAAAGCTCCAAATACAAATCACACTATTACGACGAAACACACAAGTCAATACAAGTATAACATGCCGCGGAATATGATTTAGTGCCTTCTCAAATTGCACAGAGAATAGTTAGAGTAAGTCCAGTCATCTCTCCAGGCTAATATTTCTTCCTTGAAAAGGAAAAACAAAAGGAAAAGGAAAATAACGAACAAACACGCAATTGCACACAATCGGAAAACTTTAACATGCTAGGCAAAAGATGAGGATTCCTTTTTGGTAGAGAGTCTTGCAATTGTAACATCTACATTTGAATCTGCAATCATCAGCTGCTCCTGTAGAAATATATATTTCGTTGACGAAATAAACACATAAATTGTTCGGTATGAAATCTGATTGAACAACTATAAATAAGATGAATAAATCAGACTTCTAAACTTTACGGTTCAAGGTTCAGAAAAAGCTGAAAAATTGGAGAGTGAAATTATTAGTTGTTTAATTAGAGAATGAAGTACTTACAGTTTGATCATGATCATTCTCCTCTGAATCACTTAGCATCGGTACATCATCAGTTTCCTCTGCTATTTGTAGTCTTTCTGGTCTTGGATCACTTTGGAGCAACCCATCAGAAGAAATCTTTAAGTGGATCAGCTGGCAGTCCTCGACAATCAAAGTTTTTAAGGATGGGACTTTGAAAATGCAATTTCCCCTGCAAAAGCCTTGCAAACTTGGTAGACCAGAAAGCTTCAAACGTTGCAAGCAACTGAAAGTAATCTCATTTTCTGGATCATCTTCCTTGCTCGCTACTATTTCTACCATTCTTTGACAGGACACAACTTCCAACCCCATGAGTTGCTGCAAATTCTTAGCCACAGAATAAGGTATTAAGTATTGCAGTCCGTGACAACTCCGTATGCCCAAATAGATTAGATTCCGAAAGGATATCAAAGTTGAAGCTAGATTCTCTAATCTGCCACAATTGATCAGCCATAGAACTTCCAAGTTTGGAAGAACAGGGCCCCCTGGTTGGGAGTTTTCCATTCCTAGATGAATCAGCTCCGGCATTTCGGTGAGCTGCAAAACCTTTACACGTGGGAGGGTCTCAACTTCATGTGTTTCCCATCTACTACTTCCTTGGTGGTCGTGGACAAATAATTCTTTCCAAGGAGCAGAGAGCACAACAAGCATTTCAGTATTCTGTAAATTCTCAAAGAAAACATCTGACTTGGGATGTGAAGTAGCAAAAAGAATTGTCTTTACTTTGCTCAACAATACTGTCGGGAGTGGACCATACGGTTCATACCAAATCTCCGTGTTCCGGTCCAACATCGACACTTAAGTTGAGGAATGACTTACCCTAAAATATAATCAACAATAAGAGCATACTTTAAAATATTTTGAAAAACTGGACAAAACATAATCACTTTAATATTAAAAACGTAATAAATGTATTTATTTGATGGTGTATGTTCAACTAGTATATAAAAATCACATGAAATTTTGAATATCAAAAGAGTTGTGTACAAGTATGGTTACCTTCTCAATTAAAAAGAAAGGTTGTTCCCTTGGTATTGGGTGGCCCAACTTAAACTTGTCTTGATATGTTGAAAATTCAGCAACAAAAATCTCCACACCACCACATTTGTTGAACTTTAATATGTTGAGTGATGGCTAATTAGAAACATGCACTCCTGGATAGAAACTCCGAAGTTGGGGCACATTATCAAATTTCATAGTTGTTACTAAAGGGAACTCAAACTCCTCGTATGTCATTTGTGGTCCTTCTTCCATCACAACAATTCCTTCTTCCTTCACAACAATTTCCTCCATTAAACCACAATTCTTGACGCTGAACTTGTTTAGCTGCTTAAGATATTTGGCCACTGAGGCGGAAAATACATTTTTCAAACTCTCACATGAGTCTATCCAAACTGAATCTAGATTTGGGCATTCAAAACCGTTCAACTGAGTGGTAGATGATGAGTCATATACCACTTGTAGTGACTGGCACTGCTCTATTTGTAATCTCTCTAGAGCATTCAATCTTCCCATGATACTTGGCCCAAAGATATTAATCAAATTGTGGCATCTACAAACATCCATAATTCTGAGCTTGCCAAAAGAATTTGAATGAATTTGGTTCTGGAATATTGTCTTCAACTTAGGTAAGTCCCATACGAACAACGCCTCCAAGCTAGGAAATCCTACCTGTCACATATTCATTTTAGAACTTGTGAACAAACCTTTCTTCACAAGAGTAGGACGCATGCATAAGTTGGAAATAAAAGCATAAAGAAAACAAGTGAAGGTATAGTTCACCTTTTCATCAAAGAGCTCAATATCTCTTTCTTTTTGTTGGTTGTAATATTTTCACTCTTAGCATCAAAGATGAATGTCTCCAGTTTAGTACAATCGTCTAGGTCCAAATACACCAAAGACGGAAATTTAATGTAACTTCCTGAGCTAAATCTAGCGAGGTTTGGAAGATGTTGTAGCTCTAGACGGCTTAGCTTATCAAACATGTCATCTGTATTCTCCTCATTTCCCACTATCTCTTCCATGATTTGACAATTAGATATTTTGAGATTTTTGAGTTGTCCGAGACATTTAGCCATAGAACTCGAAACAAAAATCTTAAACTATCACATTGATGCACAATCAAGGTTGTTAAGTTGGGCATCTTAACCTGCATAGCACATAACAAAATTCATATTTATTTTAGAAAATTACAATTTACATCGTTATTGGCCGTATATATTCTAAATGTGTAGATATAAAGTAAATGTCATATATTTAAAAAGAAAGCTACTAGGCTACTAGGCTACTAGACAGATGTATGTCCTTGTACTTTCATTAATTAGCAAAGAACAAATTGAAGTTAAAAACTATCTGAAAAAAAATATATAGGGCCAAAATTATGTTAATTTAATTTTAAATTTAAACTTTTTTGTTTTCGACAAAACAAAAACCTATTTTATTTTTAAATTGATACCAAAAACACATTATTGTGAAAGATTATTATGGTAAGTGGTGAATTATCCTATTAGTTAGAGACGGGTTCAAATTTTCTATACCTAAAATAAGTGTGGCTTTTTGACCCCAAAAAAAAAAGTGTAATTTCTTTATGACATGTCTCAATACTTGACACTTCTGCACAAACGTAACCTTAACATAACTCTAGCAAACGTTAAGAAAAAGAAGCCGCTCATCCTCCTCCTCTCTCTTTCTCTCTCACTTCCCCAAACACAACAGCAGCAATAGCAATTGCATCTCCTTCACACATTAAATCCTTAAATCAAACCCAAAAGCCTCGCCCTTCAATTTAATTGCTCCTCCAAACTATAGGGGACGACCAAATTTGGGAAGATTGAAGAATAAATCCTTTTTGGTGTAAAATTCATTGAATTTACACCCCTGTCGATCGAGCGTGATCTCGACGTCACCATCGACGATCTCCTATTGTAAATCCTTGGGGTCCTTGCCGTTGACCGTGCAGAACACCGAGACGCAGTTCCAAGAATCTCCTTCACCGTTACCGCGAGCTCCTTCGGCCATGGATCTGTTCCTCATAACCGTGGTGATCTTGACGTCATCAAGGGAGATGCTGCCGCTGTACTTGAAGACGTGGACGTCCGTGAGGAGGGGGCGGTGATTGGTGGCGTTGGGAGGGAAGGAAGGGGAATGGGAGAGATACCCATAACGCTGGGCTGCGCTCTGATTTTTTATTTTATTGGGAGTTAACGCCGTTGGTTTGGTTGAGTGAATGGACAGATGTCAAAATTGCAAGAAAGTCAGAGGTGTCACATTCATAAATGGGTGCAGAAGATTTGACATGTTAGTTGAATTTCAATAATTGTCACTTAATATTACGGTATAATGATATTTCTCTTTATTGGTAAGTGAGAAGTTTAATTTCGATTCTAGTCAAAAGCGAATTTGAACTACATTATTGTTAAGGCTTAACCAACTTCTTCACTTTTTTAATGTAGATAATATCATTTAAAAAAAAATATCAATAGGTGAATACCGTGGGTTATCAAAACCTGATAACTTAAATATATCATTTAAATGTTTTTGGCTCATTGAAAAAATAAATCTTAAATCTTAAAATGGAATCTTAAAAAAAAAAAAAAACTGAAAATATGAGTATACCCCTTGGAATTCAATTTTCATTAACTAAAACCCACAATTATAAATTTTTCTGATAAAAACCCAATTACTAGGCTCCAATTAAGCAATATCCATAATTAAGTATGACTTGGAAAAATTGGTATTTTTGGATGTCTAAATCACCCCTAATATCATTAACGTTGGGTCTATTACTTGTTATCTACATTTATTCTATATTATTTCATTCAATTAAACGTTTTGAAATGTTTATGTAGATTTGGAAAAGAAAAATTTTAGTGTCATGATTTCAATGCATATTAATAACAAAAATGACATGATATTAGAGTTTTGATTCCTTATATAGTTGTTTTCATATTTTTGTAAAAATGAGCATTTTTTTACCTTTTCAAATAATTGTAACAAGTAAATTAATATTTTTCAAAAATATACATATGTTATTTTATTTAATTTTTTTCCATTCAAATGTTATTTTATTCAAAATTACCAATATTTTACACATATAAAATACCAAAATAACTTCCAAGTAAAATAATACATGCAAAATTATTTACCTACAATGATTGCCAAAAAAATATAAGAAATGGAACATATGATGGTAAGACAAGTATAAAGTAGATACTTTTGTAATTTACCTATAGAATAAATGAATGTTGATTGCGCAAACAACATAATAATAACAAATGTGCCTAGTATATGTAATAATACATGAAAAATTATTTACCTACAAAATAAAAGGATGTTTTTAGCCAATTGATTCAAAGTTAATTAATTACCTATATTCTACTTAAAAATATAGGTAATTTATTTCACACAGATATAATAATAATGAAATGTGCCTAATGTATACATGCAAAATAATTTACCTACAATGATTGTCAAACAAATATAAGAAATGGAACAGATGATGGCAAGACAAGTATAAAGCATATACTTTTGTAATAATAATGCACTTATTTGCCATATTTATGGTGGATAATTAAATTCATCACCATAATTAGGGTGTCGTGGTACAATTTTAAATATTTTGAAAATAATATGTATTTATTTGTTTACATGGCAGTTTACTTCAAATTTGGATTTTATTTGGATGTTTAAAACGAGATGAGTTTTTGTCAAGAAAATAAGTGTTGCATGAGCTTATACCTAAAGAACCCAAAAAAAAAAAAACCATTGGTTATCAAAACAAATCTTAAAAAGAAATTCAAAATTCGAAGAAGAAAACTACTTGGAGAAAGAATCATGCAACCATTTTGCTAGAAAAATAACAGAGAAAGTACCTCTCCATTACTGAAAGTCTCGGTGGTCCACCAACTTCATACTCCAAAACGATTTCGTCGGCATCTGCATCAATCGTTCGCTTGTCTTTGAAAAAGAAACCAATAAGCTTCGGTAGATTCCGAAGTGTCAAAGATGTTAACTTTTGAAAGGGCTCGCCTACAAGTTGCCCATAACATACACTTTCCAAAATCACAAGGTCTTCAAGAGTTGGAGATTCCAGGTTGGGGAAGGTATTATGAGAATAACTCCAACTGACAAAGTTAATGACATATGTAACTTCGTCGTTGTTTTGGACATGGAGACACTTCAGTTGTTCCACAGCATCACTGTCAAATAGAAAGGAAATAATATTCCCACTCTCCTTCCCATCCAAGTACAATTGCTCACATCTCTTTACCAGCAACTTTATACCTCGGTCGAATTGATTTCTCCTGGTGAGCTTGAGTTTTAGCATGTTAGAGGAGGTTCCGTACGTGTCACGATATGTTGTATCTTTCTAACTTATCGGAGAACAAGTTCGGTGGAAGAAGGTCAGCATCTGGAACATGTAAGTCTAATGCAGTTAGTTCAGCCAAGTGCTTCAGCTCTGAAACAGTAGCATTACTTCCTCCGCTAATGGGACCTTCACCCTCCCATTGCTTAAAGCTTTTTATTCCCATCCTCAAGTCTTCTAGTCTTGTCAAGCTTGATATAACACCAGGTGAGATCATAACAAGTTCAGAGCAACCGGTCAAATCCAATAATTGTAGCCTTGTCAATTGCCCTATTTCTTTGGGCAACTCTTTAATCTTGGACTTTAGGAGGCTAAGAATTTTCAAGTTTATTAGCTGTCCAACAAGAGTTATGTCTACCAACTCGCA